TCTCTAATAATATATAATGTGTGTGTGTGTGTGTGTGTGTGTGTGTGTGTGCATGTATTGTATATATTACTATATTATGTGGTGCTAGGGATCAAATCCAGGGCCTTTCTTTGCTAGGCTATCACACTATTACTGACCTACATCTCTAGCTCTTGGCTTTTTTGAGATAGGGTCTCATTATATAACTTAGCCCATACTGGCCTTGAATTTGTGATTCTTCTGCTTCTGCCTCCCTTAGTCATGTGACACCATTCCTTGGCTCCTGTGTTCTCTTACCCCTATTTAGTGTGTACTTATGACTTTTGCTTACTCAGGATTTCTTAGTGTTTATTATTTCTTCTTACCCATAATTTGTACTTATTTGTGGCATGTATTTACCCATAAGAACTTTTGGTACAACATGCCTTTCTCTGTCTTTTGGTTTCTGACCCTAGCATCATACACTATCATCACTCCCCACATTCAGAATTTTCAAGATAGAATTTGAGTTATTTAACCTTTTACCCTTTTGCACAAACTTAAAAAAAAATTTCCTTATTTTTATTTTATGTGTATGAGTATTTCGCCTGCATTTATATAAAGTGCACCACATGCGTGCCTGGTGCCCATGGAGGCCAGAAGAAGGTGTGAGATCCCTGGAACTGGAGTTATCAATGAGTGTTAGCTACAATGTAGGTGCTAGGAGCTGATCCTGTGTTCTCTAGAAGAACAATGGCTCTCACCACTGAGCCATTTCTCCAGCCTTCTTTTGCACAAACATAATGCTAAGCTAAGTATAAAACTCATGTTGGCAGGGCTGGAGAGATAGCTCAGCCAGCGGTTAAGAGCACTGGCTGCTTTTGCAGAGGACCCAGATTCAATTCCCAGCACCTACATGGCAGCTCCATGTAGAGCTCCAGTTCTAGAGGATCTTATGCCCTCTTCTGACTGCCAAAGGCATTGCACAACACAGGCACACCTACCTACTTGAAGCTTTACATTCATACACATAAAAACAAACAACTCATGGTGGCTACAATGGAGGAGCTGTGTGATCCCTAACGTAGTCATTTATATTGAGAAGCCTCTTAAAAGAGCCACAGCTATATAGGTGTTACGAGGCAACCTGCAGGTTGTAGGGAGGGGCAGTAAAATGAGAGAATATATCTGTACATTGCTACATTCAGGGAAAGCACCAAAAACAAGTATGTAGTATTATCTATATTAGGATTTTCTCCCTATTTATCTCATCTTTTTGGATAGTGTATTTCCTTACACTCCCTGAGAACTTTCCCACCTACAGATTGAGAACTTCCCAAATCTACCAATCTCACCCACAAACCTTTCCTTAGCTTAGAGCCATGCAGCCACTACTTGCTGAACATCCTTCTCTGGACAGCCTTCAACATCTGAAACTCAGCATTTGTAATGCTGAATTGTCACTTGCACTGTAACTCTGTTCCCTGGACCTTTACTGTAATAATCAACACTGTCACAAACTCAGCTGCTCAAGCCAGAGTTCTGAGAGTCATCTGTCCTTTCCCTTGACCTCATTTCACACTCTGTTAGTTTTATAGAGACTCTGAAGTTCATTTCACAGTTTGTCACTTTCCTCAGCAGTTCATGTAAAGGTTCCCATCTTTCTCTTTTACTCTAGGAAAGAATAGCTTCTTTCCTAGTCTCTGCTGTCATTAGAACATTCCTTTTTTCTATTGTCAAAACTGACTTCTAAAACTAAAATTTACTTATATGTGAGTCAGAGTTTATTACCCACAGAGGACATTGGAATCCTTGATTAAAAGGGAATCTGATGCTACTTCTTTTTAGCAGTTGATTGGAGTAGTATATGAGAGACCAAAGATTGCAGTGGTCTTGAAGTACACATAGATAAATGATGCACTTCTGGGGATGAATCAATTTAATATCAGCTCTAGGAGGGGAAGGACTGACTGGGTTTGCATTACATTGGTGTTGTGAAGCTACATTTATTCTTTGTTGTGCCCCCTACCCCACCCTCCCCAGTTCTTGAGCATTAAGCATAGAGCCTTGAACATGCTAAGGAAGCAGTCTTCTTCTGAGCTACAAACTTCTTAACTCCACATTAAGAACAACAACAACAAAATATAAGCCTGAAACTGTGTTATATGACACATGAAAGGAATAGATGAGCACTAGCTAACTTAGCATGTAGAAGGTATAATCTCCATGCTTGGGGAATAATGACAAGTCAAGCAGATAAACCCTAAAGTCAAGTCAGAAAAATGGGTTGCTGCAAACAAAAACCTTGCTTAAAATATATAATGAAAGTATATGGTTTCTCAGGCCACCCAGTGCAGCCCCAGATAACTAGCCATTTCCATTTCATGCATCTAGGTAACAATTTCATCCCACTTCTTTAGAAGGGAGGGAACACTAGTCCAGGGGTAGGAATGAGATAAGAACTCATTCCTGAAGTCTGGAGGATTGCATATGTTTGAATACTAAATTGGAAGATTTAGTTGTATTATTTTCCCAACACACTTCCTTCTTTGGAGAAATTGGGTGGTTCCAGAGGAAAAATCCTATAGAATCTGATGTCTGATTAAATTCCAGAATGAGTTATTTGCCCATTCTGCCTGATAACCTAAAGTAACTTACTGCTAAGTTCCCCACTGGCTATTTTAGAGTAGTCATCCACTTTGAATACTTGGCTATGATTAGACAATTTAGAAGAGCCTCCAGCATGAAAAAAGGCAAAATGTGCAGAATCAGTATCAGGAGCAGATAAAAAAATATTTATTTTCAATTACAAGAGATAAAATTTACAAAAGAAACAGGATGGAACGGATCAGAAAAAAGTAACACTTCTCAAAAGCAACATAGGAAAGTGGGAAAAATAGTTTTTAGAAAATGTGGAAAATTTTAACCCAAATTTCTTTAGTCAGTTTGAGAATAGCAATCTTTTTAGAAAAACAAAGTCTCAAAATGACTTTGTATATTAGAAGGGATACCAGCCTGCTGTGATTTGTCAAGTAGGATTTGTTTTCTCACATAGTAAATCTCAAGACAGGCAGTTGTTGACACTGCCAGAGGCCTGA